GACACATCCTAACCCGACACCTGAGGCATCACAATACATGGCATAACCATCTGGACCCTCTGGAAGTGATAGAACTGGCGCTGAGGTCAACCTGTTCTTAAGCTCTTGGAAACTCTGCTCACATGTCTCTATCCACTGAATATGGAGCATAATAAGGAAATTGGCATGCCCATGTTTTAACAAAGACACTTCCTCAATTAGATTGGCAAATTGTAATAAGCAATATTTTATGGGTCATCGGCGTTACCTTTCTCTAAATCATAAATGGAGGAATAATAAGGAGTCATTCGATGGAACAAAAGAGCGAAGGCTCCCACCAAGAGAGCGTTCTGGTATTGAGATAATTAATCAATTAAAGGTCTTGAAGGGATACGATTAACAAAGGATCCAAATAAATAGATCAAAATATCACATAATGCTCGAAAGGATAATTGGAACAAGAAGTATTTTTTTTTGAACTTCCGCATTGGAAATCTTTTTGTTGCGGCATAATTTGGATGTTATGCATATTGAGAAGAACATATGTGATAAAATATTGGGGACTATGTTGAATTCCAAAGGAAAGACCAAGGAAACAATTAGAATTCGACTAGATATATAAGAAATGAACATTAGGCCGGAACTGACCCAATCAAAAAAGGGGAAAAATACGAAGTTCCAATCGCATGTTACACATTGTCTCCTGAATAAAAGCACAAGTTATGCCTTTTCTTAAAGAATTTTAATTCCAATATTAATTTTCATCTAATATTTCTCAATGTGTGAACATGAAAGATCACAAGATTTCTGGCTTAAAGAGTCATAATTGTCATGTTTTTCTACAGTATCTACATCCACATGCACTTCGTGGTATGTCATCCAAAGAAGTGTTTGAACCACTTATTGAGTTATATTTATTTTTTAATGTCCTTGGATCAAAGGAATTAAGTGTCATGACCCCAACCCGGACTCGGTCGTGATGGCGCCTCTCGTGAAGACAAGGCCAGCCGACACTTCCTGTTTTCCAATTATTAACAGTTAAACATTTAAGATATGGTCTAAACATGACAAAATAAATTTGAAATAACAACGATAACATAAATACGTGGAAGAACACACATACACAGCCCGATACCGGGGTGTCACTAGTCATGAGCATCTATGAGTCATAATACAAGTTTGCTAAATCTATAAGCTAGTACAAATGTCTGAAAAGAAATAGAAATGATAAAGGGGGAGAAACACGGGACTGCAGACGTCAAGCAGCTATCTCATGGACTCTGATATCTACCAGGAGTTCTCAACTCACACTAGCAGGATCCGCAATGCCTGAATCTGCACACAGGGGTGTAGAGAGTAAAGTGAGTACTCCAATTCAGTGAGTAACAAATGTAAATAAAGACTGAAAACAAGAAATCATGTAAGTTACAAAGCATTCTATAATGAAGTAGTAAAACAATTAAATCAGTAAGCCCGTGAAAGATAGGTAAAACTCATTAACTCAAACGTAGTTTCATGAAAAGCCTTTTTCAATAATTAATTAGGTAATTGACAATCAATTATGAAAAGTAAACACATAAAGGTTCGCCCCTCAGGCATAGTATCAATAAATCCGCCCCTCGGGCAACATCTCAGAATAGTACCAGCCCCTCGGGCAATCACATAGAACAATACCATCCCCTCAGGCTCAATCTCACATCACAATGGGTACACGCGCTCACTGGGGGTGTACAGACTCCTGGAGGGGCCCCTAATGGCCCAAGCGCAATATCCTCCCCGTGGCATCATCACTAGGCCCTCGACCTCATATCAATCAAGCCACATTTTGGCGTACATATCTCAGGCCCTCGGCCTCATAATTAGTATCAAATATTTCCTCACAACATAGGCACTCGGCCTTACTCAGTCAAAATCCTGACAAGCCACTCGGGCAATAGTAAAACATGATTCTCAGCCAAAAAAAATATCATTTAAAAGATCATGTTAGTGTTAAAATAGAGTAAACATGGCTGAGTATGACATCAGTAAAATATCACATGACTGAGTTCAAGTATAAAGTCAAAACAGTAAGGAAATACCAGTAAAAATCCCCAAAGGGTTCAAATAGTTGGCACAAGGCCCAAATATGGCATTCACCCCAAATCATGATCATAGCAAATAGATTTCAGTCAAATACGTGGCAAAATAGTCATTCGGGAGGGACTAAATTACAATCCCCAACAGTGCATGACCCCACGCTCGTCATTAAGCGTGTGTGTCACCTCAATATAGCACTACAATGTGCAATCCGGGATTTCAAATCCTCAGAACATCATTTACAATCATTACTCACCTCGAACCGGCTAAATCTATAGATTGCGATGCCTTTTCCCCTCGAATCGTCCACCACACACGTCGAATCTATCCAAAATCAGAACGAGGACGTCAAAATATGCTAAGGGAACGAAGCCCAAATGAAAACAATCAATAAAGGGCACAAATCCCGAAATTACCAAAACTCGATCCCCGGGTCCATATCTCAGAATTCGATAAATTTTTACATTAATAGGTTCCTTATCTCCCCCACGAGTTCATACATATCAAAAGTTCTCAAATTCGACCCCAAATGGTCCTTCAAATCAACAATTAAAGGCCTAAGTTTCCAAGCCCTAGTTTTCCCAATTTTAACCTTTGATTTTCATAATTTCTAGCTTTAATCCATGAAATAATAGCATAGGAACGAGTTTTAGGTCCGAATTTCTTACCTCAATGAAGTTCTCTTGAAATACCTCTTTCAAATCACCCAAAAAGCTCCCAAGCCAAAGTCAAAAATGGTGAAATAACTCAAATTCGCGAAATGAAATAACTTATATGTTATGCCGGTGTCTTTCCGCATCTGCGGTACCATATTTGCGGTCATTATTCCACTTCTGCAGAACTCACTTAACCGGCCACATCTGCATCTGCGATCATCCGTCTGCATTTGCGGTCCCCAAATCGCAGGTGCGAAAACACCAGAAGCAGCAATTTCAGCAGCTGCAATAACATCTCAACTTCTCCGTTAACCACCCGAAATCACTCTGAGGCCCCTGGGACCTCAACAAAAAGCACAAACATATCCTAATTCCTTATTCAAACTTTTTCCAATAATCAAAACACCTCAAACAATATCAAATTATCCAAAACATATTCGGATTCAAGCCAAACTTTCTAAAATCTTCTGAATTTTGATTATGATCAAAAACCCAACCAACCACGTCTGAATGACCTGAAATTTTGCGCACACATACCAGAAGATACAGAGGAACTATTGCAACTCTCAGAATTCCATTCCGACCCCTATATCAAAATCTTGCCTATCAACCGGAAATCGCCAAAATATCAACTTCGCTAATTTAAGCCTAAATCTACTACGAACCTCCAAAATTCATTCCGATCACGCTCCTAAGACACAAATCACCTCCCGAAACTAGCCGAACCATCAGAACTCACATCCAAACCCTCTAACACATAAGTCAATATCCGGTTGACTTTTCAAACTTAAACTCACTCTAAAGAGACTAAGTGTCTCAAACCTTGCCAAATCCTTTTCGGATTCGATCCGACCAACCCGATACCACAAAATACGGATAACAAAGCATAAAGAAGCAGAAATGGGGGAAACAGAGCGGTAACTCATGAGACGACAGGCCGGGTCGTCACATTAATGAGGGAAGAGTTGGATCAAATTGAAGCCCAAATTCCTCCAACTCTTTGCAAGTTAGAAAAAGTATTCCCTCCTTTATTTTTTGATGTCATAGTGCACTTGCTTATTTATTTAGCGAATGAAGCTAAGATTGTTGGGCCTATTCATTACCGGTGGATGTATCATGTGGAGAGATGACTATATTTTTTGAAATCTCTTATTGGTAATAGGGCTTGTCCATAAGGGTCTATTGCAGAGGGATACATTACAATTGAATGCATGACCTTATGCTAAAGGTATTTGCATAAAATTGACACAAAGTTCAATCGGCCTGGACGTTATTTCTGGTCCCTGAAGTTATTTAAGGATCATATTACAACTAGTTGTTAATACCTTTAAAGGACCAGTATTAGTCTTGTCACCAAACATATTTAGGGACCAGATGTCAAAGCCATCATTAATAACCTTTAACAACAGAGGATCTAGCGACCAGTGACGACCTGTTTTAACTGGTCGCTATATATGTTCTAGGACAAGAATTAGGCTTTTAGGGACAATATTTCTCATCTCTAGAAGTCATTTTTCATGTAATGCACGTACGCAAGTCATATATCATCAAATTAAGCTACGAGAGCTCTTGGAACAACAAAAAAAAGAGACTAGTACATAAAACAATCTATTGGGCCATCAGAAAAAGCTTCTAATTAAGCGTAAACAAGAGAAACTAAAGAAAAAATTCAAATATAAATGAGTCATTCTTTTTTGAATGGATTAATAAGAAAACTGTGTCACATAAATTGTAACAGATGGAGTACTACTCAAGGCATCTACAAGAGAAATCCAAATTAATTGAATTGATCGCAAATCTCATTAGTGTGTTGTTGAGAAAAATATATATTTAGCAAAATAAATAATCACAATAACACCGATCCACAATAGGATCCAAATTATGTTGAATGCTAAACCTCATCTACTCTGCTAAAAAAATCTACACCTTTTTTGAGAATCAGAAGCATAACATAGGATCCAGTACTCGCAAATGGAGAGTATAATTACTGAGTTCAACCTATCAACTCAGTGTTTTCGACATGCAAATTATATGCATAATATAAGAACGTAAATATTAAATCCATAAAATTAAAATCCTAAAATCGTGTTTGATAGGATTATTCACTTGACCAAATGGACTAAAAAGGAATGCAAGATCTATATGCAATAGACTTTAGTGTTTTTCACTTTTTAATTCAAATATTTTTACACTGTATCAAATGGATCTGACTCTTATAACTAGATCTTACCTGGCTCTAGTTATAAAATATAGAAATTAGAATAATTTAGACATCAAAACTAAATTCATCAAGCATAGATGTTTATTAGAAAAGAAACTACGAAATTTTATTAAATTAAAACATACATTAGAATAAATCCATCCGGAAATATATCAGTAATGAATCATTTGAATTTCCATCTTTCATATTTTTCTTTTTATGTAGAAATTAAGCTAAGCACATTTGCAGTGGCACACATGCTTATTTCCCTCTAATTTGCAAGCTCCTCCGAGCTCACAGTCACTGACACAGAACGTCCAACATTTGCCATCATCTTCTGGATTATCATCTACACCAGGTACACATGAACCAAGTTCTGGGTGATCCATGCAACATTTTGCTGCATCAGCTATATTCTTGCAACCTATAAAATAACAAGAAGATATTATATATGTAAATATACACATGTATGTATGCACGTACATACATATCTGGATTTGTTCTATCTAATGTTTAAAATTTCTTAAACAGCCTTATTATTTAAAGATGTACATGATCTTGTGCTTGAATTATAAGATTTTCTCAGCCCTTTGAATAAAGAAACTTTAGCTCTAAATGAATACAAATTCCTGCATTCTAATATCACTTGAATTACAAAAAAAAATGAGAGCATCATAACTAAGCACTTTTTATTTTGCAAACCAAAGATCTATTCCATAAAAGAATTAAAAATAAAGTATAAAATAACATTGAGATATTAAAAGGAACAAACAAAAGTACCTATAGAAAGTATAAGGAGTGTAAAAAGAAGAACCGAAACATTCTTGATTTCCATGCTTATTGAACAATTAATTTTCAAAGTTGGGTATATCAATCATATTGAGAGCATCCTATTAATTTATAGTGCTATAAATGACCACAGGTCTTTAAATTTTATATTATATGCATCCATATTAGATTAGTATCATAATTAACTAGCTTATAAAAAAAGTAGTGCTGATTTGCTTCCATCTTACGAAAAAAGATAAGGTAATAGACTGGAATATTTAGTGAAATGCAAGGAATGATATACTATCTCATAATATTATTTCCATATTGGTCCTAATATTTGAGGATTACAATCATATGTTATTTAAAAACCTACTTGGTTAATATGAAAGCATATTATGATCATGTAAGTATTGTCATATCTCCTTTTTACCACTCCAGAAAGGGGTATTATGGGAGTTTTTTCCAATTAAAATGAAAATCAAAACGGGACTATTATTTAAGATCAGAATCTCCACTTTGTATAATTTATAGTATCCCAAGTCACCCGTTTAGAATGCCGAATCGAGGAAATTGACTCTTATTTATGGTCTGCGAACACAGAAATCTGGGTAAGGAATTCTGTTAACCCGGGAGAAGGTGTTAGGCATTCCTGAGTTCCGTGGTTTTGGCACGGTCGCTTTGATCATATTTGGCTTAATCAAATTGTCTAATTACTAAATTTTAGAACCTATGTGCATTAGCCGCTTTAAATTAAGAAATTATCTTAAAACAGGTCATGCGTACGTGTACCCATTTGTTTGGAGCGTCAAAAATCATGTCACACGAACGTGTCTACAATTAATAACGCTTTATTATTGTTAAGAAGGTTTAGTACGCATACTCCGATTTTGTTTTTAGAATCGTAATCATGTCACGCGAACGTATCCATAATCACGACGATATATTAAATGTGCCTAATGCAAACAACGAGGTTTATAAATATTAAAGGCCTAAGTATGCTCCTAACGATTCATTA